AACCAAGCTTTGCCCTTTCAAATGAAATTGAATTTGCTTAAACATCTTTTTCTTTCGCTGTGATATGACACTTTGAAATTTTAAACCTCGATTTTTGAGATTTGAGTCGACTTAATAATCGATATTTTTCGAAAAGAATCGGCATCCCTAGTGCATTATCAAATACAATGAAATTCAGGAAAATGAGAATTTAAAAGTGCCATACCTCAGCAAAACAATAATATTTAAGCAAACTGAACAACATTTGAGAGGGCAAAGCTTGTACTTCGATATTTATGATGACTATGGTTTTTGGTAAAAAGAATAATTCGCCATGCTTCATAACCTCAGATATTGAAAAAAATCGCTATTCTTGCACTTTTAGGTGAAACTAGACACAATTGAGGGATTTGGGATGAGGATTCAGCGCATCGAAAACCATCGGGAAAGTATACTCTGGTTACAAGGTCTAAATGTGGCTTTAGAGTGGTGAATCATTAGTCGACTCGTTCCGTACCGGTGAGAGTCATGAATGCCGGCTGTCAGCCGAATAAAGCGACTATAAATGTCAGAAATTAGAAATATTGAATGAGGGGTGGATATGTTCCTCGGGTATATACGACGAGTGATAGGGGGCTCGCCTGGGACTGAAACCGGGATGGAGTCTAGCCACGTTAAACCGTGCATTAAAAGCGACTCGACATACATAGGCGTATCTTGAGGAATAATCTATGTCGTCGGTTTTCGTAGCAAAATCTCCGATTATATAAGTAAGCTCAATGTTACAATCCAAATTGTTAGAAAAGAAATTTGACGTGCAATTCTTTCACCGATGCTTTTGTTAAGACAGTGACTACAAAAGCTTCAAGACAACCGAGATATTAGGCTCCAAAGAGCCATAATTGAGCCAGCACAACCCTGCTTCCCTTTCCTCCCACAATCCCCTCCTACGTCAAAACGTATGATGCTGAGGTACTAAGACTATGACTCAGTATCCAAATTAGGCGTCGCGTGGTGTCTAGGTTAATCTAGTTTATGAAAAAGGCGCATTTGAAAAACCAAAAATAATATATTCCAAGAGCAATAACCTAGTTATCCATTTTATGTATCTGAAAATAAAATAAAAAATGCCATACACAGTTTGAGGAATAAAAAGGCCCAGATCTTGATGGTATATGATCAGAAATGTTAAAGAAATCAGTAAGCCCTTGCCGTATATAGCGAACTTGATAATTGAATCGGGAGAAGATGATTATAAAGTAAGAGTAGTAAAAGCCATCCACAAATTCGGTGAAAAAACAGATATTAACAATTACACGCCTATAACGCTTTGCAAAAATTATTGAGAAAAGTATAAAAGTACGACTTCTAAAATAATCTGATTAATGACAAACAATTTGGATTCCAGAACAAGTCTACCCAAGACGCAATGCAATTTCTTTTTTGACATCAAAGTTATACAAATTACTGGACCAAAGGGAAATTATGCCATGTGTGTGTTCTTAGACCTAGCAAAAGCATTCGACACAGTATTCTCATCTATTAGAAATCTTACATGACTCAGGAATCATTTCAAGGCTTTTAACCTCATGAAAAGTTATCTTTCCAACATAACACAGTCCATACAAATCAATAATTCCTTAAGTACAAACAAATTGGTAACTTATGGTGTCCCACAAGGGACGGTCTTAGACCCCTTATTATTCACATTTTAACTTAATAGCCTACTGAGCTTAAAATCTGAAGGGACAATCATATGTTTTGCAGACGATACTGGTATCATTTATTCGGATAACAACTTTTGGGATGATCTAAAGGTGAGGTTTGAAAGAGACTTAATAATAACTGCAGATTAACTACCAAAAGACTATGTTCATCCTATTCACAAATCATAAAAACAAATTACCATCCTTTGTTTCTATACAGATTAACTGTGATATTTAGGCTCACATTTATGGAATATACATATTGATCATGTAACCTGAGATCATTATTGTTTAAATTCAAGTATCTAAACAGATATTTGGATAAAAAACCATAAAAATTTTATATCATGCTTATGCGATATTAGGTTGAGGTGGAGCACTTAGTAACCAAATGAATAAATTAGAAATTATCCAAAAACAATTTTTAAAAATAATCTTCGACAAGCCACTCCTATACTCATCTGATCTGTTGTATTCTGGAGCAAAACTGTTAGACCCTAGGCAACAATTTTTTTACAAAATTATATTTATCAGTTTCAACATAGAAATTCCGTTAGATGACATATCATACGAGAAACAAAATCAACAAAATTAAGCAAACACCTTTCACCTCAAAAATATAGATCAAAGATGTCATACTTACCTTTCCAGTAGGCTATGTAACATATTACCAAATTATATAAGGAATATTTCAAATAAAACAAAAATTCAAAATCGAATCTAAAACATTTATAATTAGGAAAAATCGACATCAAATTGCAAGAATGATACGTAGGAAAATTAAATTTAATGTAGTAGTAAACGATCAATTTTTGGAGTAAAGATCGACTGATTCATTTTTAGTCTTCAAAACTAAGTTTTATTGGCCATGATGATATTTTAAGCAGTGATTTGTGTATCCTTGAACTAACAACAGTCAGTTTCTAGAAGAATTATTCAAAGACCAAAAAAAAAACTATTTCCAAGAGATTAGTAACTATTGCATTTTTTAGGAAATGTAGTTTGTACGAACTGTTTTAAATATTCTGCCTGACATTGAGCCTCAACTGGAATTCCTCAATAATTTGCAAGTGATAAAATATACGATACATGGTTTCGGCTTCGGATGATTTTCTGCAGAAATCGAAACTAAACCGAATTTGACCGAAACCGAAAGTTCGGTCGGACATTAACTAATGCAGACCCGTAGGCAGGAACTTAAGTACCAGGGCGTCGTGACTGCTGTGAGGAGCTTCAAGCCATACTAAATGGGAATGTCCCATTAGGCAAATTGTTCCACAATATCGACAAGGGAGTGGTCATACCAACCAGTTCTGTTTGTAGGAAGTTCGACCGCGTTACCATGGGAGGGAGAAACCCGGTGGTTGCGTCTGGCAGGCTCGACTCGCGGCAGTATCATGGAGGAGAGCTTTGAGACGCGAAGCGTATTGAAATAGTGGGTTGAAGAGAGCTAGATCGCCGACCGCGCGTCGCTGCGAGAGGGTGCCAGGACTGTTCGTTAAAAAAGTGTTACCGATTAGTCGGACAATCCTCATCTCATACTCGGTGCTGTTAAGTATGGACAATATAGTTGGGGCGGCAGCACCCTAAAGATGTGAGCAGTACTCGCGGCTGGAACTGATATTGTACAGAGTTAGGAGGTTATATGGATGAAATTACTTCTTAGTCTCAAGCAAATAGCAAACACTTTTCCCAGCTTCTGGCTATCTTAAAATCCTTGGCGCTTGCTGTGCGCGTCGCCCATGGCCCATTCGCTTTCCTGAGCCGACTTCGATTAAGCCGGGAGTACCGTTTTCCGCTTTGTGCTCAATGCTTTGTGAGGCTCCAGTCCAGTCCTCGAACGACAAATGAACGTAGTGTGCGAAACGGTAATAGTTTCAATAAGACAGGTGAAATGTTTTCAGTATTGAACATTCGACAATGAACACCAGGCGCTGCTTTGTATAACCCTTTGTCGACCAAAATAAATGTCAAAAATGTGAGAGGGTTCTTCATGCGGTAGAACGTGGATGGTTCTATCGATGTTTGACGATTTGTAAGGGAAACTATACAGGTTGTTGGAAAAATGAGCTCAGATTCATGTGTATAGGCTTTTAACAAGCGTTTTGGATATTTTGTCATCCTAGAGGTATAGAGTAAATCAAATTACGATCGATTCTGTCTGCTAGCAGTGAGAGCTAGAACATATACCTAGGTATTACTTTTTGCATAATGCTTTGTTAACAGTTAATATCTGTCCTATTAGACCAAGCAAAAAAATACTATATTTTTGAGCCCATTTTTGGCCCATAGAATAATGTGCTCTGATGTCACTACTACACTACTATTTGTGAACAGCAGCTGATAGCAGCATAACATCTCAAACTTTTAAACATATAAACATGACTTCTACCAGCTTACATGAAAACTATAGTAATTATCGTTATTGTGTCGTCCGAGAATGTAAAAACACATCGAAAAAAAACCCAGGAAAGCTGTAGATTAGAGTGAGTGCCCAGGGAAATAAAAATACTCAACACCTGGCTAAGACTTGCTCAAAGGAATCCTGAATCCTGACAGTAACCCAAATTTATTTTTGCAAAGCTCACTTTGAGGTAGCATTAGATAAAATTATTCAGAGGTTTTGGCGCATGAGCTTAATTTTGAATGACTTCTGAAATGGAAGACTAAGTTAGTGTATTACATTTCTTTCTTCATTATATCAGATGCACTGTACTTACACAGAAGTATTGATGTTCTTCAGCCCAGCAGAGCAGAAATCAGGGTTGGTGGAAAAAAATTACCCACCATCAATGTGTCAATTTTCAACAAATTTGTGCTATCTATTTCTATGAATACAACGTTCATGATAATTTTTTTTTCAATAAAACGAGAAAACGATACATTTTTAGGTTGATTTTTCAGAAATATCCAAAGAACACAACGTTAGTCCACGAGTGACATACGGATGACGTTTCTTTGTTTACAATTTGTATCACGCCACATCATGACCGATAGCGGTTTCACCGTTTCAAATTAAAAAAAAATATACCTATTTTTTTCAAATGGTACTTATATATCCATATTGAGCTTTTGAAAATTATTGAGTTCGATATATTTCGTTTTCCTAAGCCAAACACTAAGAAATACTCGTTTACTCTGTGAAATTAGATATGAGTCAGGTAGTCTACGTGGTGTGCCAATTAAGTTCCGGGAATTTGTCAATAAAAAAACAAGCAAACAAATTTCACGTCATTTTTAATTATCGACCTTCACAATTGTCTTCATTTAACTCTACACAACGCTTCCATCGCTGCTCTCATGATTCAAAACAACCTTGGTAACCCTCTGAAGTTAGCCAGTTCCGCAGCTTCGTTACAGCTGCTTTCACCTCCTCTATGCCACCATGATGAGTTCTTTTGAGGTGTGTCTTCATTTTAGGGAATAAGAATAAGTCGCAGGGAGCAATATCGGGGCTATAAAGTGTGGGCCTCGATTTTCGTATTTGTTTCTGTTCATGGGTGAGAACTTTTGGAATCGTCTTTGCGCAAACCTTTCGCATGTTCAAATTCTCAAGTAACATTTGGCGGACGATTTCTTTATTCATATTTAGCTTGTCAGACAATGCACGAATGCTTAGGCGCCGGTCAGCAGTTAACAGAGTGCGCAAACGGTTGACATTTGCGTCGATACGAGAGGTTACGGGAGCAACTTCACGTTGATCATCTTTTACTGATTCTCGCCCCTCTTTGAACCGTTTTGCCCATTTAAACAAGCGGGTTTTCGACATACGCTTGTCTTCATACATCACTTGCAATTTTCGAAAGATTTCCGAGGGTTTTTCGTCTGATTTCACTAAAAATTGGATCACAACACGTTGCTTGTAATGAGAGTCACTCATTTTCACAACGCAACGCCACTTAGAAAATGTCTTTCAAAAAACACCCACAAACTTCAAACCACACGTACAATCGAATTCAGTTTTGGACTGTAACTCAGAAAGAGAGCGCTTTTGCCGGACAGAAGTTGACAGGTGACGCAGTGTCATTACGGCGTTCTCGGAATTTAATTGGCACACCACGTATTTTCTCCTCGCCGTATGTGTATTCCAAATGTATGCCTGTCACTGTCAGTGTGACATGGGCGTGCCATTTTGGGTTTACCTTTCATTAATCTTCGTAATACAACACGAAGCAGTACCTGAAAATACAACTAACCGATCATATCACCAGTTTTTGGCAACATTATTGGAGTATTTTGAGAAAGTGAAAGAAAGTATTGGTCCTTCATTAATCAATTCATGTATGCATGGCAGCTGCTTTCAAGAACGGCTTGCCTAGTGTATAGTTTTGCTGTGGAGCTCCAGCTAGAGGTCCAGTTAGTCGTGTTGCTTACTTATCTTGTATGGTATTGGTGACGTTATCGCCAAAAACTGTTAACAGATGTTTGGACGTGTAGTTGTCAAAACGCCGAAATACATCTTGATTGTTCCCAAATTGCTTTGGCCTACGGGCTGAATTAAGCAATAATTACTGCGGAATTGACGTCTGTTTTGGCTCTAAATCCTACTTTCTAAAGATCAAATAATAGATATATGAAGAAATAAATAATAAGACGGTACAGACAAGAGGAAAACACAAATATCCCGCTTCTGATCGACACTAATAGATCACGATGGAAGAGGAAATAACTTTTTTTTCGACGTCGCCGCTCAGCTAATTTAACAGCTCCATGATTGATGAGGTGCACTGGCGTTACTGAGTTGACCGCACATAGCGAACAAGCGCGCGAAAACATTGTTCCTTGTCACCTGTTTGAGTGCTGCAGCAGTCCCGGTTGGCTAGAATGAATGATGTAACGGATCGCTAAAGATAACATCTCATGTAGTAAGCCGGAGAATTTAGACAAATCGTCAGGATCAGGAATAGATAGACTATTTGAAACGACAGTTAACACTTCAAAACCGTTACTGCTAAGGACTCCTTTTTAAACCCTTGACCCGAAACGTGCCGTCTGTGAGATTGCGGCGTTCCTATACCTGACCATATATTTGCCATTAAAACGCCATTAAACATAAAAATCCATCTAATTCCTAAGCTATTAGTAATCCACCCTAGCCCCATTTGCAGGAATCTATCCACAGCGGTTCAAAAAATATCTTCCAATTTTAGTGTGTGCGAAAGGGTCCCGAGGCTGTCTGTTAGAGAAGAGTCGTCGATCAGTCGAGGATAGGCCTTATCCACGGCCTTGTATAGAGTGAGAAGGTCATGCGGAGAAAAGTATTTCTTAGCCCTAAACAAATACTCCAGGTTTTTCCCAGCAGCTGCCGCTATTGAGGAGATGTGTTCGTGCCAGATCAGGTCCTCGGTGATCTGGACTTCGACCAGCCGAAGTGAACGGCCATCCATCGAAACAGGATGAGAGCTAGGACGCTTTTTCTCCGTCAAGGTACAGCACTGTGTTTTGGAAGCATTAAACTGTACAATATTGTTGCGTCCCCAAGCAGTGAGAGCCTGTCGTAGTTGTCGCTAGTCTTCTTTTTTTCTCTCAGCGGTAGAGATCGGCTTGTCACTCTGAATTCCTGCATGAAGAGTGCTGTCATCAGCGAATATGTGGATTGGGTTGTACGTACAGGGAAGGAGGTCGTTGATATGTAAGAGGATATGTAAGAGGATCAGTGTCGCAGCCAAGACCGATCCCTGGGGAACTGGGGAACACCCGCGTTGATGTTGTGGGATGAGGAGGAGAACCCCTCAATGACGACGGATATCTTGCGGCCAGAGAGCAAGTCAGCCACCCATCTGCAAAGCTTTTCTGGGAGGCCATATTACATAAGTTTGTATAAGAGGGCAGCGTGCCACATCTTATCGAACGCTTTCGTGATATCAAGAGCAACGACATGAGCCTCACCATAAGACTGGATGAGTACTCCACAAATGCGTGACGTAAGCTAGGTGATCCCCTGTGAATCGCTGGTGCCGGAAAACATACGGCTTGCCGCTAATCAGTTGATTTATGCACCTCTCCATCACTTTACTTATAACAGAAAGCAGAGCTATAGACCTGTAGTTGTAAGGGTCGGTCTTAGATCCTTTTTTGGGATGGGTTGGACATGAGCAAATTTCCAGTTTTCTGGGGAGGTGCCGGATTCATAAGATATCTGGAAGAGACGCGAAAGACCTGGAGCAAGCTACGCTGCACACCTATTCAGTACAATGGCAGGGGTCCGGACCAGAAGCTTTGTTGATGTCGAGCGTCAAGAGCACCCATCTAACGATCTTATGCCTGAATGTTACTTCCCGCATAGTGTAGAGAACCCTTTGATTCGACGGCACTTGGGCGTTGGGGGGACGTCCATGGTGGAGTTGGCAGCAAATATCTTGGCAAGCACTTCCGCCTTGGCCTGTAAGTCTGTTACAATCGTTCCATCCTGTCACGTTAGTGGTGGAAGGTTATTGTGTGAGAAGTTCCTTTCGAAATCTGCTTGCCCAGCGTCCAAAAAGACCGAATGTCATTGCGCTGCGATATTACTTTTATATCGTGCTGGTCTTTGACATTGCGAACCGCTTCGTTATATTTGTTTCTGGAAACGATGTCGAATTATCTGTTCTCTACAGTGGGGTTTTGTAAGAAGGTCCTGTGTGCTTTGATCTGCTGGCAAGCAGTGTCACACGATTTGTTGAACCAGTCGTTGGACCCTGGCTTAGTCAGTTTCACTGTATAAGATATGTATTCCTCCATCCCGTCGTGGATAATTTCTGTTACCGATGAACATACAACCGACGCATCCGCGTCAGCGAAACAAACATTTCTCCAAGGAAAGGTAGAGAAGAAGCCTCTGAGCCCGTCCCAGTCGGCATATTCGTAATGCCAAATTTTGCGGCCTGGGCGAGTATCTGCTGTCACAGCGGGTTTTGACCGAAACCTAACCTCGACAGCACCGTGATCTGAGTTACCCAGGGGGGACAGGGTAGCAGTGCTGTAAGGGACAGGATGCGTGGTGGAAAGAGATCCAGCAGGCTACTGGCATGTGACGACACGCGGGGGAAAGAAGTAGGGCTCGTCATCAGCTGGGTCAGCCCTTGAGTAAGAGCGAACGCTCCAACTGCACGACTTGGTCCATCGGTCTTGTTTGAGCCCAACCAAAGCTCATTATGGGCATTGAAATCTCCGAGGAGAAGTATCTCTGAGGCGGGGTGATTGATGTTCAGATGAGCAGGGATGACTGCTGTGGACAAAAGTCGCAACTCCCCCGTTCTTTCTCAGATTGGAGTGAACCTTAAATTTGGGAAGCCAAGAAAAGCATGGCGACATCAGTGTTGCTGTTAATCTCGCAGATGTTCGTGAAAACCTTCGGTGTTGTTCCCTCGAGTCCACCCTCCACCATCGTCATTAATTTCTTTGTTGGGGAAGATAACCGACTACGTAGCTTAGGTGTGAAAACATGCGGACATTTATAAGACACCCTGGGAAAAACTAGCGGGTGGCACCGCCTCGGTTGACTGGTCCTTGTCTACCACCTTCACCTGTTTGCTATTTGTGTTATATAGGTGCCCCCTAAAGACGAATGTATATAATCAGACCATGGAAGTAATATTGAATTGTCAGAAGAAGAAGAAGAATATAAGGATCGTTTACCAGCTCATAATCATTTCTATGAAAAAAAGAAACGTCATGAAACATTCCACGTTTCCGAAGTTCTACCATCACAACGTACAAACAAGCATGATATATGTTAGTTATGCAGGTTACTGTTTTGAAAGGAAAACCTCACGAGTATCTAAAAGAAGCAGGTCCGTTGGCTGTTTGGCAGTTATTTTTTTACCGTATATTAGATATTTGGGTAGAAAATTCATATATTTTGCACCAGTGCTACGAAAAAATCATTTTGGCAAACAAGAAAAACATAAAGCGTTAGACACTCCGAATTTGGTTTAAGGAAACAGGAAACCATGCTTTTTGTGTCACATAACAAATCGAATGACCATATTTTTGTGTATACAATGTTAGGAAACGTCTGCAGTGCTCCAAACTCCAAATGTACCAGCTGCATAAATATATTATAGACAATGTTTATATTGTGCTTTGCATTTTTTGTGTTGTTTTTCTATTTATTGACCAGAAGCTATTTTTTTTTCATTCCTGTATTAGAAAATACCAAAACATTGAGACCCTTCAATATTAAATTTTTACTATAGTTTGTGACAAGAACAGCGTTATTTATGCATGGTTGGTTTTAAATACAGTTAATGAAAAATATTCGTTTATATGCGTGTGCTTTTTTTAATGAGCATTTTATTATTAAACACAGGAAATAATCTAGTATAAATCCTAGCATAGTTATTCGTTGCTTTTTCTGATATTTTGAACTTCTTGAAGTTCGCAGTCTCAGAGACGGCACATTTCCCTTTGTGTACCATAAACTGACGTTTGTTAAATATTAATCCGATTTTTAAACTTCCTAAGAAAACCCTGCTCAGACAGATTGTTCCACAATCTCGACACCCTAGCAACAATGGAAGGGAATGTAGCAGCCTGGTGGGTTCGTCTGGCAGGCTCAACGCGGCGGCATCATAGAGGAGAGTTCTGAGAAGCAAAGCCCGTTGACATAGCGGTGGAAGAGAACCAGAGAACCGCCTGTCGTTTTTCCTGTTATGTTATTTTAATTCATTGAAAATAGTTCTGATAGGCGATACGACGCATTTGCTCAGTAAGAGGAACTTGAAAGGTTTTAGTGAATGGTCTGAAGAAACATTGAGCCTGTACAGTACACTACAGTAGCTACTGCAGAATTCTAGATACCGAAGTCTCAACTGTTTAATCAATTTTTTAGTTATCCTAGTGGTGTAATGATGGATTTCAAAAATGCTACCGGTCTGTGTACAGACTAGCTTTAGTTGG